GGGGCAATATGCTTAGAGAGGACTGTAAAGCACTGTGAAACGGTATACAAGTCTAAGTTGTATTGCTATAACATCCATGTTCTGCTTCTGTTGGCTATTATGGAATCAGCATTCTGGAACCCTGAGTTTGTAATTTGGTCCAGATTACCTCAATCATGAGACTTTAGATGGCGTACAATATTTTAATTTTTTAATAGATTATAAAACAAATATAAACCTTTTTTAAGGATAAGAATATGAGAGTTCATATTGTTCAAAATAACTAAGAAAATTTGACTTGACTTCCTACTTGCTTGCTCCTCTTCTTCTGCTATTAAATAAGGATTAGGCACTTTTGGATTTTAGTATTATAAAAGGTAAGAGTGAAACCATGTATCCATGGTGTGTGTGTGTGTGTGTGTGTGTGTGAGAGAGAGAGGGGGGGGTATGTGTGTGTGTGAGAGAGAGATGTGTACAAATACCATGATTTACATACTTGTGACAGATGTAAGAAAGCATGAAAATAATAACATTAGCCAGATAACATCAGAGCCATTGCTGTGAATACACTGAATCAAATAAGCAGGCATTATATAACTGAATTATATTCCCATGACACGACATGGTTTTTTCTATGCCATTGTGGGCCTAAAATGCCTCTTTTAAGAAACTCTGCCTACATCTTCCTTACTCTTAGGAGGGCTATGCAACTGCTTTTGAATTTGAATTGCATTTTCATTATGTAAACTTAGTTTATTATGAGAAAATCAATCAAATGGAAATAAATTATTTATTAAATAGTAATGTAAAAATTACTATTTTTACAGAACACGGTGGCTCAGTGGCTAAGATGCTGAGCTTGTCAATCAGAAAGGTCGGCAATTCGGCAGTTCAAATCCCTAGTGCCACGTAACCAAGTGAACTCCTGTTACCTGTCCCAGATTCTGCCAGCCTAGCTGTTCGAAAGCATGTAAAAATACAAGTAAAAATAGGAACCACTTTTGGTAGTAAGGTAACAGCGTTCCATGAGCCTTCGGAGTTTAGTCATATCAGCCACATGACCACGGAGACGTCTTTGGACAGTGCTGGCTTTGGCTTTGAAACAGAGATGAGCACCGCCCCCTAAAGTCAGGAACGAATAACATATGAGGGGAACCTTTACCTTATCTTTAATGTAAAAATAATACAAATAGAACTTGGATAATAACTATCCATAAACTATGGATAATAACTATCCATAAACATAATACTTGAATGTACTAGATATTATTAATAATTTGAACTTAGTCATATCTGCCATCTTATAGCTTGTGAGGCAATAATCTAATGTAAAATCTACCAGCAAAACCAATGAACACCATTTGTTTGTATGCCCATAAATTACTAAATGTTGCTATTAGGTCACAATGAAGTTTCTGAAAACCAATAAACCCTTCAGTATTATATTCCATAATAATAGTTATTGTTCATGAGACTAATATTTAAAAACAAATATAAACATTCTACTGAGTAGTGACAGGTTTGAGGAGTATTATAAATATGAGAGGACAAGCATGTTAACAATATTAGCCAATTTATATTCATATTTTCTGATCTAAGAGTGATAGGCAAGCATGTTTAACATGCATGCAATCTTTCTATGGGCATCTTTTTGTGCTTCTCTAAGTTCACATGTTACACGCAATAAAAGGGCTTTGTTCCTTGCTAGGAGAGAAGCTTTCAAAAAGAATTTGAACAGGTTTAATGAGTTAAATCTGTCCAGAAAGGAAAAGAAATTTAAAAAAAAAACCCTGAATACTTTCAGAGCAAATGTCATCATCTATTTTAGACAGTTGTGCCTCTCATCAACTAATCATGGTGTATGATCAAGCTATTTAATTACAGGCCTAATTTGTTCAGCTTCCTCTTGATTGTACTTAGTTGACCTTAGCTGGTGAGTAAGAAAGTAAGCAGGGACTGTCTTAGCATTGGGATGAAGTGAAGGAATTCCAGGACTGCAACTAGAATACATTAAGACTCAAAAGGCACACTGCCCAGCAGGATGCATATATATAATCAATAGATGTTGAGCTGATTTGAGTGTGTCATTTTGTTTCCTTTGTCCCTTTAAAATGATTTCCAATCCAATGGGAAGTTGGAAAGAAATGATGTTGGAGGAGTTTAAGTTCTCTTCATCCCAGTAATAACTATGAAATGAGAAATTCAAGGAAAGCTGGTAAAAGGACAATCAAAATCAAAGGCAGAGCAGATCTGACTGGAGACTACAAGAAAAATTGAAAAAAAAAGTTCAATACTTCTCTATGGGAGAAGCCTTTGGAGAGCAGTTTGTTAATTTCTAAGCCTTTCCCCCACCTGTTAGAGGACACAGAGTAGAGCAAATACAGTTTGTCCTTTACACATATTTGCAGACATAGATACAGCACTAGAAAAAACAGAAGAATACAGACAAAATTGATATTTTCACACCCTGATTATACTTCCTAAATTCATACACTTGGAAGCAATCTCATGGTACACACTTTAACGGTTTCTACATACCATGGCATACACAAAGACAGGCTGTATGCCACACCCTGGTTGTTTCATGAGGAGAAAATGTACACACCCCAACATCTCCCAAAGGAAAATACAGATGCCTTCTCTGGCCTCTGCTGGTAAAAGGGTTGGAAAGGATTCAGATATCCTGCAGTTTTACTGTCTTGTTTCTTAAGGAAGAGCTAGTTCTCTGATTCTGCTGCCATCTGTTGCTCATGTATTGCAACTGCATCTTTTCTTTGCAGATTCTATTATTGTACTGCACCACGTACAATTTTTGAGGTATGTGTTAATTAAACCTGTAGACCAGTGATTGTTAACCTTTTTGTCTTTGCGTGCCCACACCCATAATGCAATGTGTGATGCACCCTGCATGCCCTGCCACCTGCGCATGCATGCGCAAACCCCCTCCGTGCCCCATTTTGGGCCTACCAGGCCTCTCTGGTTTCCTGGGACGAAAAATGGAGCACAGGCAGACACTGCACTCCATGCTCCCCCGCCCCCAGGCATGCGTGCATGACTCCATACACATGCGCATTTCTTGCATGCACAGCAGAGACCCAAAAATCAGTTGGCCAGTGGGAGGCATGCACGCTTGCACACTAGAGCTGAACTAGGCGACAGCTTGCATGCCTACAGAGAGGGCTCCGTGTGGCAAGCGTGCCATAGGTTTGCCATCATGGCTGTACACTCATTGCATGTAAGGTACCCCAAAACAAAGCATCCATCCAACAAATTATGCTTCCTTATCCTGGCTCACAATTATAGTATCATCACTACAAATTAGAATAGGTTTTCCAGTACTGAAGCAGAGGTGGGTTCCTACCAGTTCGCACCTATTCGGTAGAACCAGTTCGTCAAATCTACCGAACCGGTTAGAAGAGGTTCCACCAGTGGACCCGGAAAGCAGGCCACACTTACAGAAAAGGTTCCAAATTTTTTTGAAACCCACCACTGGTCCTTGGATATGATTATTCGACACTATCATGCTCATATTTATAAAACTCAGTGCCTCTGTGAAAGGTAAGGATGACTACTGCGTTTGTGGTGCAATCAGAACATTGCGTGTGTTGAATTTGTTTTAACACAAAACAAAGCTGCCTTTTAAAAAACAAGTTTACATCATATTCTTATGCATGCCAGTGCTGTGTGTGAGGTAATTTAAGGTGGTTCTGACAAGTGTCGTCGGCATCTTCATATTCGGTCACATGGGCGGCAAGCAGCTCCCATCCGGTCACATGGGCGGCAAGCCACTCCCACAAAGGAGGCCACCCCCACAGAGTAGGTTCGAACAATTTTTGAAACCCACCCCTGTACTGAAGGCAATACATATGATATTCTATATGTATACCAATTCATTTCAGTAATGGTTTTCTCTTATCTTTGCTACCAGTTCGCAACTGAGAGCATGTGCACATGCTCGCTTTATTCACATGCGATGCTTTTGTGCATGCACAGAGCATCCGTGATGACGTCTGGGCGGGTGGGCGGATCTTCCCGCCGCCACCGCTACTGGTTCGCTCAAACTGGGGCAAACCAGCAGAATATCACCTCTGATTCATATGATACAGAAAACTTTCATCTAAAATAGTAAAAGTTAAAAATAAGCCTTAAACATGTTAAATAGCATCCCTATTTCACAGAGTGGTCTTGGTGCTGCAAAAGGGGGAAAAAATCCTGCTCTTTGTGTCCATACGTTCTGCTTCCAAAAACAAGTAGATGTGGATCTGGAATAGGGATTCAAAATGTAAATCTCTAAGGCTGGGTTTGTCTCTTGAGTTATGTCCACCTGTTCCTGCATGCTTGCCATCAAGGATACCTTTAGGGACTTGTGTATTATTTTGCTCATCTCCTAAGGATAAGTTCTTTTGGGCACCGTTTTTTCTGCTGCTATATTTACTTTTCCTCTTCTATTCCTAGTGTTTTGTAGCACATATGTATGGAAAAAAGCTCTGGAGTCTAGAGTTATCAGAGTGAACCAAAATCCTTTGCTGTTGGAAGTGAATTTGATCAGCTCACCCCATCTATATATAGATGCTGATCAAAGTGATATTGTTCTTAAGGCAATCGTGTCTTCTACTGATACTGAGATGCTGAGGGACAGGATGAGGATAGAAAGGAAGGTTGTGTTTTCTTTGCACGGATTCAAAAGTTCCGAGACTGGAATGCTGACAATGGGGCATGACTGACCAGTGGCATAGTCATAGCAAAGTGCAGTAAAATCCTTCAACCTTCCCCAGAAGAACAAATCTGGCTCCTAGAAGAAACAAGTCTCCAGCTTTTGCACCTGAACTAACTCCAACCTGGCACAGACTACAAGGCTATTATATTCTATCCAAGGGCCTATACTACAGCTGCTAAGTTTAACAATGTCTTTAAAGGAGTAATTTCTCTTCCTGCAACAAATTTTTTTATTTCTGAGAAAAAAATATTTGAAAGCAAAAGTAAACTCTGGTTTTAATCCTGTCGGAGTGATGGTACACATTTTAAATAAATTTCAAACAGGAAACTGTGTGCAGGAATCATAGCTGGCAAGGTAGAGTGTAACAATAATAAAGCACAGAACGGTTTGGGGGCAGGTGGATGGGTGGGACATGATGTGAACATTGCCAATTGTATCCTTCATCCTGAAAGGAATAGTTATCTACATCAGTGTTTCTTATCCTTCGTAGCTGGAAGATATATGGACTTCAAGTCCTTGAATTTCCTAGCCAGTATGCTTGCTGGGGAATTCTGGGAGTTGAAGTTCACACATCTTACAATTGCCAAAGCTGAGAAACACTGATCTATGTGAGTGACTAACAACTGAGATTCTTCAGTCCAGAATTTAAAATTCCCCAGCTGCGCCATCATTTTTTCCCTTATTCCTTGTCTGTGGTGCTTGCTTGCTTCTCTTTGCCTGTTAGCAGTGGCAGCTCTGACTTGCGCTAAAATACACACCCAAAACATTTCTATTTGCATTTAACACTTTTAGATAATATGATTTATGGTCAGTCATTGTATATATTTACATACATCTTGTTTTATTGTATGTATACAGTTATTTTTTATAAAATATGTATAAGTGCTATCATACACTGCCTGGGACAGCATGAGGTAAGTGTGAGCTATGAATCAGCTTCTCCTTTACTTGGCTTCAGGCTGGGCCTAAAATATTATTTTCCTCAGCATTAGGCACAGTTAGATGCGAAAGGAAAGCTAGGCTCTTCCATTCTGAATAGGGCCTGAGTTCTGAGGGTTTAAAGTGATAATGACTTGCCCTTCTTAGTGATTTAAAAATGCTAATTAAAAGAATACATCTCCTCCTCCTATTAATTTCGTAGGTTGCAAAAGGAATCAAATTGTTTTCTTCACAGTCCTTCAATGAATCTTGGTGCGTGTATGGCTGCCTTTTATTTTACATCCCTCTCTTGTAATTATGAAAACTGATGAGTTAGCATTTTGATAAAAATGCTGGGAGATCTGAAGTAAACACTGCCATCTCCTGTTCTTAATGAATTCTAAAATGGAGGGGAAGCGACAGAAGGATTCCAGTCTGAATATCCCCCCCCCCCCAAGCTTTTAAAAGGCTATGAGAGCTTTTAAAAGGCTATGAGAGCTGTTTTAATATGAGGCGAATTAGAGTTGCTGTGAAAATTTCCTTTGTTTCTGCATTTGAAGCTTTCTTCTCAACAGCTTTAGCCAAGATGTAAAAACAAAAAACAAAAGGCCGGTGTCTTCCCCTCCTTGAATTGATCAATCAAAGAGAGAGGGTGGGACGTTTTGAATTCTCACCACCTTGTTTGCTCTCTGGTGGCTGGCCTCAGGAAGCCCTGGGAAGGAGTAAATAAGATTATTGTTGGGTACTAGAAGCAGAAACTACATTAAAAACAGAACTTAATTTATCAAAGCTGTTTTAAAACGTTTAGGGAAGGAAATTGTTAGGCACAAGAAGCAAGAACTACGTTGAAAACAGAACTTCCCTCCCTAAGTAATTACAATAGTGATAATTGTAATGAAAAAGGCTTTACTGTCATAATTTCATTGTTTTTTTTAAAATTTATATTGCTTTTTTCCCCTTTGTATGTTCATGCATGATCCAGAAGAGCCTTTTCTGTCATTGCTCCTGCCCTCGGGAACATCATGCCCTCCGCCCCAGTGGTGAGATCTGCACCCATCCTTTTCGGCCTTCTGAAAGGGCCTGAAATGGAAGACTGCCAAGCAACCTGGGGCCCAATGATTGCATGTCATTTTGGAAGTGGTGAATGGACTAAGATGAGAACCCACCACTTCCCTGTGTGTATCTTGCTCCCGCCCTTCACATCTTTGGCAATTTTTAAGTTAAATTTAATCTTATTGTTTGTGGTTTTAATGTTTTATTTGGATGTTTTATTGATTGTAAACTGCCCAGAATCACTTTAAGATGAGATAGGCAGCATAGAAGTTTAATAACTAAACTGGAAGAGCAGGTGATTGGCCAAAAATCACACAGTAAGAGTCATAGCCATTTGGATATTGGCCTCCCCAGGCTCAAACTCATTTCTTATTCACCATGCAACATTGACTTAGGATATTATAACACAGAAATACAGTGGGACCTCGGGTCATGAACGGCCCAGACCACAACCAAATAAAGTCTGAGCAAAAAATTCGCATTTTTTTTTTTTTTTACTCTGATCACGAACACATACTTGGGTGGTGATCAAACGCAGCTGCAACTGATTTCCTTTTCTGCACCATAGAGAAAATCTTGATCTGCTGATTGTCTGCCATTCCATATGTTAAAGTTACCCTTTAATCTTGTTCTCACTGGCTTCTAGCTTGTTTTGCAAGCTCTCCCTCTCCTACCTCCCTGGGAGACCCACATGACGCCGCAGAAGCCTTGATCACAGCTTTTTTGTTACTGTTGTTTTGCCCACATGGTGAAGGTTGGGAACAGAGCCAAGCAAGCTCTGCAGTTGGAAATTCTGGCAGCTTGGAAGCCAGGATCTCCCCACACCTCCCCTCCTCTCAGTCCTCCAGCTCTCTGCCTCAGCAGGCCGGCAATAGAAAGGCCCTGGCACTTGGCTTTGGAGCATGGAAGGAGGGCATGTGTTGGGCCGCTTCTTCTTGCCGGGGTTTCCTTGCAGAGAGGAAGGCAGGAGGAGCACTGTATAAGCCAGCCAGCCTAGCCCAAGCCTCCTGCCCTCCCGCCCAGGTTGTGGGAGGGCCGATCCCCTAAGGTAGCAGGAGGAGCTATCAGTGTTATTGAAGGATTTTACATTTTACTATTACACTGAGAGTTCTGTGGCATAATTAATTATTTTTGTGCTTAAAAATATTTTCTTAAAAATTTATATATAGTTCGTAGGGGTATGGAACGGATTGACCGTATTTACATACAATCCAATGGGAAAATTAGATTTGGGCCATGACCAAATCGGGTTGCAACCAAGGTTGTGGAACAAATTGTGGTAATGACCCGAAGTCCCATTGTAATAGGAATGAAAGTCTGCTTTGTAGGAAAAAAAAAAAAAAAAAACACTCACTGAAAGAAGGCATTGACAATCCACTTCATATTATCACTAAAGAAACCCACATTTTCTGAACCGGACTTGAGGGATATCACCACTACCTGATGATAATGAATGGATTCTCAAAAATAGTTCATTTCAATGCAGTTAATTTGGCATTTTTTTCTTACCCAAGTATGGTTATATTTTATTACCTGTTCTAAATTGATAATTCTTCCAACATTACACAATACTGAGCTTGCAACTTGAAATGCAAATACTGCCATGCAATTCCATATTCTGCCCTTGTACATTTTACATTACTCTCATCTTGCTTGCAGAAATCTTGGATAAGCAGAGAAATGGATAAGGAGAAATAAAAGGAATATTATTTGAATGATCAGAGACCAAATTTAGTAATACTTTATAACAGGAATAATTTATGGTCTGTCACAGTTTCAGTTTAAATGTGTTGGTTAAATACTCATTTAATGGCTCAGATAAGCACATAAAAAGCAATATCAAAATAAATGCCTCCTTGAACTTACATGGCATACTTTGTGGAACTGCATTTAAAGCTATTTCCTCCTGAAATTACCAGATTAGATTTTTTTAAAAAGCACAGCTAAAAGTGGCTTTGCATCATTAACAGTGAATAAACAGTTCAATAACAGTTCAGTGAATAAATTAGGATTGTCTGAAATTTTTGAGTGCACTAAACCATTAACTATTTCTCATAATCTATAATGGCTACCATAAACAACCCAATTATATTATGGATTAGTTCAAACTTTTCCAATGTGGGAATTTCCAGATGTGTTCAGACTCCAGCTACCAGGATTACCTGCAGAATTGTCAGGTGGCATGGATAAAGGCCACACTGGTGAAGAATTTGGAGTCTCAAACAGATTTTGAGATACCACATTAGAGCTTTGTTTAAAATTATTTATCTTATGGAAATACAATTTATTTTCACATGAATGGGCACACTAGAAGAAAGCAAGGACAAATCACTTTCAAATTATTATTAAATTAAACTACAATATATAGCCCAATCCGAGTAGCTTTAGGAGATGAGCTTAAGAGAGACATTACTTTTTAAATGTGTATAAAACCTTGTGAAATTTGTGCAGTGACATCTATATCCATTGTATACTGCTCAATGTAAAATTACAGGGTGGGGGCAAAGCCCCAAATTACACATTGGTAAGAAATTGCAAAATAGATTTTAAAAAAGTAGACTTTAAGGGGATGGAGTTGAACATAGATCTCCAAAAATATTTCATATACTTAATGAGGATGTTGCTGAGAAGAATGTGAAACAGTTTAACCCCTTCCCCCGTATAAAGCAAAAGAAGGAAAAACTAAAATATAAAAGGTGGTAGGGCTCCTTCATGTTTATCCTTGCTAAAATTCTGTTTTCTTTTATTTCTGGCACCATGGAAAAATCATGGAAGTAGGAAAAACATGAAGTCTGTTTGTTCATATAATCACATTCACAATTTACTCAATAGCTAGTGTCTGTGATATAATGAATATTGGACTATGAAATATGATTTAAATTAAAATTCCAACTCAGTTCTAAAGTTGATGGGCTGACCTTGGGCCAGTTATTATCTTAACATGCCGATCCTACTTCACAGGATTATTTTGAAGGATAATCCATGAGTATTATTTAAATAAAAGTTTGGAACAAATCTGGCAATAAATATTAAAAGATAGCAAAAATAGCATAAATAATAGCACAAATGAAAGGATTTACCATTATTAACTTTGATGCATGGATGCTTCATCTTAGCAATATAAACATGATCCAGCTGAAGTATCATGATTTTATTCTTAATAAGTGATATTTAAATGAGTATCTGGTCTCCATTAAAATAAATATATCCATATACATCTATATTTTCTGGAAAAAAAAATGCTGCATGTTCAATAGGACTTGCATCTTAGCAACCTGATAATATAATTTTACATACATCTATTCAGAAAAGTCTCAGATAAATGCATATAGAATTATAGTCTTAAACTGCTTAAATTTGGATGGATTGTTGCTTGTGTGATTATGTACATGGACATATCCATATCATTCTTGCTATGAGTGTTCATAATTGGGATGGTATGCATATACATATAAACATAGATACACACACAAACATGCTGGGTCTCAGTTTAAGATATCAAACATCCATTGTTCTTCTGTGTCTTGAATTACAGACATAATTTTGTTTAGAATTACTGGTAATTATTCTGTATGAAAAATGCTGCGATTGACAAAATTCAAGACATCTATTTCTCTACAATATATAACTATTAGAAGAAACTGAAATAGCCTGCAATCATAACATACCTTGATGCTTTTAACTTTTCCCTTCTGCTGTTTCTCAGATGTACCAGTCCTGGACTTCAGATGGAGAGAAAGCAAAAAAGCATGCATGTTCATGTGGAAAAATACCTGTCTCTTTCAAGACTGATGGTAACCATTAAAGGGAATAAAAAGGTAACTTATTTGCTGCTGAAAAGTGCAATGCCACTCATGCCTTTTCTGGCAAATCTTTCCTGCCAAATATCCTTGGCACTGAATCCTGGCTGCTCTCTCTTCTTGAAAGAACAACTGCTCAGGGTGAAAATGTCAAATCTTTCCCAGATGCTTTGCAGTGGTATTAAGCCTGGTCATGTTCAACTCTTTTGTCCTGTGAGTTTTGTTCTTTTGCTTTCACTTGGCTTCAATTGTGCGGAATTCTCAGATTAAGATTTGCCAGCTGGTTTCTGTTAAGGGAATGCAGGCTGAGATGAGAGAGCAGGAAAAGATGCTGAAATCCAACAGCCTGGAAAATCATGGGGGATGGGGTTACTGTTGATCCTTTAAGAGCCTCAGCTCTGTTCTGCGGTATGTTGCTATGTTAAAGGCAGCAGGCTCGTTAAATGTAAAACATTAACTGATGGATTCCAAGCTCCGATTTGGTTAACTGATGGACTGCATGCAGCATAGATTTCACCCCATCTGTACACACACAGAGACACACAGACACACACACTTTTCATCACTAAATTATCTGTGTGTGTATGTGTGTGTGTGTGTGTGTGTGTGTATGTGTGTATGAGAGAGAGAGAGAGAGAGAGGGAGGGAGGGAGGGAGGGCTTTGTTTCTATTGGCTGATTCTTGCCTTCCCACCCACATCTATTCCACATCACCTTGGTGTCTTCCTAAATAAAACCAGTCCTCCTTATCGCAGCAAGGAAATCAAGCAATAGAGTTGCAATGGATTTTAAATAAACACTTCTCTCTCTCCCCCCATCATTGCCAGGCTGCTGAGAAGCACGCAGGAGGCACCTCACCAACTGCTACTGAAACGCATATGCATAGCTACCTTGCCTGCTTTCTGACTACTGCTGCTTTCACCCCATGTGTGAGGGCTGGAGTACACAAGAAGCTGGCTGCATGCAGAGGATAGAATTGGTACCTTTATGACCAATTCTTTCTCCATGGATTTGAAGGACAGCACCAGTGAGGGAAGTCTAGGGAGCCTTCAGCCTTCCAGCCTCCAGATTTTTGCTAATACCTCAACCCTACATGGAATCCGCCATATCTTTGTTTATGGACCTATGACTGTGCGGAGGGCTCTATGGGCTCTAGCATTTGTAGCTTCCCTGGGCCTCCTCTTGGTAGAGAGCTCTGAGCGACTGATTTACTACTTTTCTTATCAGCATATCACCAAGGTGGATGGGCTTGTTGCTAACAGCTTGGTCTTCCCAGCTGTCACCATCTGCAACTTTAATGGGTTCCGCTTCTCCCGTCTCACCACCAATGATCTGTACCATGCTGGTGACCTTCTAGCTTTGCTGGATGTGAATTTACAAATCCTTCATCCCCATCTTGCTGACCCAACAGTCTTGGCCATACTGCAAGAGAAAACCAACTTTCAGCACCACCGAGCCAAGGTCTTCAGCATGAGTGAGTTCCTAGGACGTGTGGGCCATGACATGAAGGAGATGCTGTTGTACTGCAAGTTCCGGGGACATGAGTGCAGCCACAAGAATTTTACAACTGTGAGTATAAGGAACAGATTGACTTTCTTATTACCTTAATAATGGTTATAGTAACAATGGGATGTACCTAGAATTGGTAATTATATTTATCCTGGCTTCTGTTGGTGAGATAGCAGGCTTGAACTGAAGTATGCTTGGTATCCTTGTGGCAGATTTAAAATGGGAAGTTAATCCAATTTAAGGAATTAAGGACTTTTTTCTGGGAGATTTCAACTAGCTCTAGTTATTGGCCTGTTCAGACCCTTGATGTAAGGAATGACAATATTCAATTGCACTGTGCTTTCCTTAAGGAAACTAGCTTATTTTGCTAGTGAATGGTGATTGGCAACAAAGTAGTATTGAAATAGTACAGAACTTTTTGGCTGATATACCCAACTGGTTGATAAGGACTTACAACTTAATTCATTTTATTCCTTACGCTCTTGGTAACAATTATTTCCCATTTCATGTTAAGTTTTTTTTTTATAGACACCTACACAAGATTCTGAAACTGGATAGCCTGGGACAATGTTTCTTTGTAGTAATTTAGTGTTGGTGACCTACCTCTGATCTGTGGTCTAGAAGAAGTGTAGTGTTTTATGAGCATTAGGGAGTTAAATGTGAAGCCTATTCCTTGCTAAATAAGTGATTTGCTCTATTTCATTTCTTCTTAATATTGTGTAGTGGGCAACAAGATTAAAATGTAGACTATAAGATTAGTATTGTTTCAGTTCTCATAGACCATATGCATTCATCATTTCATAATTGCAGCATCAATTGTTGACTTAAGTGTGTGAATGAAGTATGAGAATAAGTATGAAATATTAATATCTTGACTTACTACAACATAGTAAATACAATATTTTTCAGTTGACTTGCTTCATACATCATCCCCAGCAAATCTCCTAAGTAATGGTGAAATTAAATAATGCATAAAGATAGAAATTAAGCAGATCTAGGCCTGGAACTAAAAAGGAAGTGACATGTTTCATAACTATGGCCAGTTGCCATTAAAGGTGAGGATCAGAATTTAAAAAAACACAAGATGACTATTTTATAGGCAACAAAAAAAAAAGAGAGAAGGGTACTGTTTACCAACTTTATGTCATCCAAATTTCTAAATTGGTTTAAAATTTAGTACTTGAAGTCACAAAACATATAGAGGTCACTAGATTAGAGAAATGTTTTCTAAATAAATTGTTTTGTCCTACTGGCTTTCTTGTGTGCTTTTTGCAGCAGTCTGAAATGGAGAAGTTAAATAAGTGAAGATGATGGGCAGTGAATGTTGGAATAAAGTTTAATTTCTTCTTTGCTCAGACTTGTGTAAAAGTCACCAAGAGTTGAAAAAATGTAGTTTTTTTAAAAAAAATTATGAATCCCTTATTTCTATGGCAGGGGTCAGACTAAGACATTGGACAGAAGAAATGGTTTTCCCAAAGGAAGCTTTTTCTTAGTTACATTATACATTAAGGGGATGTTAACAGTTTGGCCTTAATTAATAACAGTACAGAATTTAGAATATATGTAAGGCAAAGGGATTTCATATATATCAACTTGTTATAATATATCATCTAAAACAGGAGTCCATTATTAGAAGGTTGAAACAGAAAACAGTTTGCTTCAATAGGATAAAACCAGTAGGACCAACACTTTAAAAAACTTTGTTCTCTCATATAGATTTCCTCTATTGCTCCACTCTTGCCCTTCTTGGTACAGTATGAAGCACATTGCTTCAGTCTGCAACCCTGCTATGTGTTTAAGCTGCATAGTTCAGATAGATTCAGATTGTAGATTTTTTAATGTAATTTAGACTTTCCACCATAGTACCTGGCTTTGGAATCAATTATATAATTAAAAAAAAAATAAAACATAGACATTACTGACAAAGGTGGGTTTGTTTTGGAAAAAGGATATTATACTTTTTGATGTTTGGAAACTCACTGTTGGGATGTAGACAGGATTGTAGCCAAGAGCAAGCTGTCAGAATGAAAACTTTGGGTCACAGTCATATTAATTGACAAGACACAATTTAATGGACCTTTACTGAAGAGTAATATTCCAAATTGATATAAAATATAAATTTGAAATTGTGGTCTAGAAATGGAAAGTTTATTGTTATGGGTATATATATTTATCAGAAGTGAATTTTCCAATATTCTTAATCATCTCTACCTTTAAAAAAACACACAAAACAAAAATAACATGGAGGAATTGAGTGCATTTGCATAAAAACTGGAGAGTGAGAAAGAATTGAGGAGAAATTCCTATTTTGATGTTTTCCCAGCAAAATATGAGAGCAAATATATAGGGCCTAGTTGGATAACAAGTTTTTACTTCCTTTCAGTGAGTATAAATTACCACCAGGAAGAGAAACTTTAACGAAAGATCTGTTGTTCAGTAGTTCATTTCAAAGTGTCATCAAATACATAATCACATAAGAGGTTGAAAATGTAAGATTTTAGATAGCAAGTATCAGCCAAAATAACAGACATTACCAGGTTGGTTAGATAAAATGATAACCCACTATAAATTAGCTTTATCAATATTTCTTCTTTCCTACAAATTGCAGTTCATTTGGATAAGATGTTTATTGACAGGTTTGTACCAAATAACTTTGTTCTGCTTCAGGGCCATCATAACAACCTCACCATAATGGAACTGGCATACCCCACCTGTGCAGGCTGAGGAGGCATCCCATAAATGGCAGGGTCCAGTTTCTCTGGTGTGACTCCTGTTTTTGGAATATCTTTCCCTTGTCCCAGGGTGAGATCTGCTCCCACCTCTCTGGCCTTCTGCAAGAGCCTGAAGACCTGACTCTGCCAGTTGACTTGGGGCCCCAACGGCAGATTATCACTCTGGAGGTGGTTGATGAACTAGTAGAAAGTCCCATCTCCCTCCCTTGTGCAGCTTGCTTGCTCCTTTCCCAACTTTGTGATTTGTATTTCTATCGTTATTAGAAATATCTATCTTTCATGGTTTACTGCTTTCAATATTGTAAATTGTCCAAAGTCACCTATGGTGAGATAGAAGAAAGACAAACAAACAAAATCTGATTTCAACATGGAAGATTGAATCACTTTGCCTTGAACTAAAATGTTGAAGTGAATGAATCAGATTTTACCATTTTTTTTCAATCCAGTGGAAAGAAGGTACTGTGTAGGGATCGGAATCTCACCTTAGCATGTGGACTGAAGCACAGCAATTGCTCCAGTCAGATGCTTCAATAGCAATAGCAATAGCAGTTAGACTTATATACCGCTTCATAGGGCTTTCAGCCCTCTCTAAGCGGTTTACAGAGTCAGCATATTGCCCCCCA